GAACACATCCTTGCGGGGTGCCAATGTTCATTATCACGTTGTTTGAGGTTAGATTTCTAATTCGGTCTGCCAGTGATGAAATCTAACACTAGCCAGTCGCAGAGTGCAGGGTTCAGGCCAAGGTTGTACAGTTTGTTTCTGAGATTGTGTGGGAGGACTGTATTAAAGGCTGAGCTGTAATCAGTGAAGAGCATTCTGACGTAAGAATCTTTGTGTTCCAGGTAGGAGAGGGATACATACTGAATGTGCGGAGATGGTGTCTTCAGTGGGTCTGCTGGGGCGGTACTCATACTGCAGGGGTGACCAGTGACTCAGGTGTATTACCCTGGATGTGGGCCAGAACCACTCTCTCAAAGCACTTCATTATGATTGGAGTGAGTGCCTGTAGTCGTTCAGATAAATGACTGGGCTCCTTTTGGGGAATGGGATGATGGTGGTGGTTTTAAAGCAGGCCTGTGCAAGGGACAGGCTAAAGATGGAGGTGAAAACATCAGCAGGTTCTGTAGCAGATGTCTCGAGGGCTTGCAGGGGTTAACTCTCCTCAGGACTTTATGTACTACAGCCGATGAGACAGTTAGTGGGGGTTCTTGCATGTTCTGAGTGTGAGAGCCTCCTCTGTGTTTCACTGTTGGAGGTGGTGGTGGTGTCAAAGTGGGAATAAAATTTATGAAGCTGTTCAGGTAGGGAGATGGTTGTTTATTTCCGTGCCCTTATAGTCTCTGATCTGTACATCTGGTATTAGCAGGAGAGTTGTAGCCTTCCAGCTCCCGTCCTCTCTAATTCTTTCACACTGTCTGTACTTTGCTGTTTCGTATTTCACCTCATTGCCTGACTTAAACACAAGATGCATGTGTCGTACTCTACTGTGAAGCTTGGCAGAGCTTCAGGGTTGGAAACTTTCTGACCTGTAGGGTGGGTACCATAATGTTAATGCAGGTACTGATGTAACCTGTCACACATTCAGCGTACTCCTCCACATTTATAGAAGAATCCTCTTGTGTAGCTGCAGCTTTAGACACATCCCAGTCCTTGTGTACGAACCAGTCCTGCATAATACTCTCAGTATGTGGGGACCACATTTTGACTTGTTTACTGACTGGGGTAGTCTGCTTGACTCTTTTTCTGGAGACTGGGTGCAGGAAGAGAGAGATTTAGTCTGAGATTCCAAAGTGGCTGCAGGGGGGCAGCTTTGTAGTCATCCCAAAGGTTGCTGTATACATGATCCAGGGGATTCTGGGGATATTCACATGCTGGTAATACTATGTTAGCACAATCTCATAGACTGTGACAGTGGTTCAAGTCTCCCACAACAATGAAAATGCCATCAGGGTGTGCGGTTTTCTGAGCGCTGATGACAAATTTTCTATGTAAAACTATCATTTCAATTAAAGGTTCTCTGCTGCATATCATAAGATGATTACTTTCCTCAGCTTCTTTATTATTTATTAGCTGACATGTATGGATACCAATGTTTTTGCCATGAATTAACATCGGACAATATTTCGGCCCTGCTAATTTTTCAGTCAGGTTCTAATCTGCATCCTTGTTTAATTATCAATTGCTTTCTTTTATTAGCCTGATTTGATATCTCTTCATGTCCAATGTCTTTCTTGCCCTCCAGCTGTCAGAATCGTGTTCAGCTTAATAGAGATTTGCATGGTACAACACATGGAGGAGGCAGGCCTGGAGTCTCAGCAGGGTGCTGCTGTGGTCCTGGCCCCGGCAGAACCAAAGGATGCTGGATTTATTTGTAATTCTGCAAGGCATGGGCCACCACAGGACCCTGCATCTCATCAGATTTATTTAAATATCGTGGATTACTAGCTTACCTTCTTAAAAGTATGGCTACTTCGCCCTTAGATCCCAAGTAGCCTAACACATCCAAATAAGGTATTGGGCATGTGGTTAGATGCTGTAAGTTGAAGAGCATAGTCGTCTTCACAGTGGCTTCCACCTCACTTAGTGCCTTGCCACTGTTTTCTAGGCTTCAGTGTAGTGTTTTTAAACCCAAAGAAAAGATGAAGAAATAAATCAGAGTCTATCCATTTAGGTTTAACTAGCCAGAGTCTGTTCTGTCTGCAGATAAATTAGACCAATGAGATTGTTCTGCCCTCCTGAAATGTTTGCTGCCACTCCACAGGGATTTCACCTTATGAGTTTAGTGAAATGACACCTCTGATGGATGTGCATTACAGCTGTGTCAGCACTTCTCCTCTTGGCCCCAGCCTGTGACTACCAACAGGCAAACTTCAACACTGCTCCCCGTCACACACACACACACACACACACACACACACACACACACACACACACACACCCTGAGCCCTGGTGATATATAAGTGTAATCCATTACTACACACTTCTACCAATTGTCTTCAGTTGGAAGTGGCTGCTTTGACCTTTTTATGGGAAATGAAAATAAGTGGAGGCACAGAACAGCCGATATTGGATCCCGTTGTTAATTAATGTGTGTATTATCCGGGTGGATGAAGCCAGGGGGAGGAAGTTAATTGAATTACAGTCAGTGAGTTGGATAATGCACTGTTGTAATTGTTCGACTGTATAAGACAGTGCTCGCATTAGGGAGACGAAAGGCGGGCCTGATTTGCTCCTAGAGAATGGTAAGAAATTACTTGTTTGGTTTTGGGGGTGTGAGGCATGAATGGCTTTCTAATTTAACCCTTGGGATGGCACACTGTAAACATATGCACTGCTAAAGCCTGTCTATGTACTTGTTATTTACTTACTGCACTTTTAAAGCACATAGGCAAACTAACATATCACACGATCCCATCTCACAGTGGTTTTCAGTGAGTGATAGATCTAACAAATTATGTTTTGTCTGACATCAGGCTCGAGCCCCCTAGAGCTCACCTAGTCACTTGAATTGATGCCATAGGTCCTTTATTTCGGCTTTACTTTTTACATCCAGGCTGTAAAACCAAATTTGGTCCTTTACAAAGGAAAACTGGCCGAGAGCTCAATGTCGCAAAGCCTATTTCAATGTGATGTTTTCTTCAGTAAATTCAGTATTTTATTTGCTTTGAATAGGGGGGGTTCAATACACGGCATATTAATAAGCTGCCTTTATTTTAAATATAGAAATCTCTGTTAATAAGCATTAATATCACAAATAATAAATGTCGAATAGGATTATTTTTGTACCCTGTGGTGAGTTTCCTGCCAGGTCTGGGGACCTGTGCACATAATAATCTCTTTCTGTAGGTTGTACTGCCATCTTGTGGTCATGACTGGTTACAACTCGGCAAACAACTTGTCCTCAAAACAATACCTTTCTCAGTCCTAGGCCAGGTGATTCTGATGAAAAGGGTATTCTCAGACACAAAGAAACTTCATAGCAACATTTTGGCAGCATTAAATATCTGAACCTGTTATTTTGTCACATGCACTGCACCCATATCTACAGTAAAACAGTGGTCTGGTGCATTGCTATGCAGGGGCACTGCTAAACCAGCGCTCTATTATGGTGTCATATAACAAACCATATGACATTCAACTGGTATATCTTTTTTAGAAAGACAGACTTTGTTCACATTAAAAAGAAACTATGGATACGATACATTATTTATGCATTTTCACGTATTTTCTTACCATACAAAAGTACATAAACTGCAAAGCTTGTACTCTGATATAGGTAAAGATCATACTGAATAATTAAACAACTAAACAATAAACTCAATCAGAGATTTATATGCATGATCACCTCAAGAAGTATCAATACATACATGACTTAAGAGTATGGCGTGTAAAAGATGGAAAACAATAAGAAAAATATTCTATTTACTTATTAAAGCTTAAAAGCACAGAATTAAGCAAATCTCACAGATAAATAGCAGATGTACTGAACAAGTGAAAAGAGCTAATAATTCAAACAACAGCACAAGGAGGTAGGCCTATACACAGCAACAGAGAGACATTTAAACACCTGGACAGAAACCAGCTAGCAAAGAGACAGACAGGCATTGGGTGTATTTGACTCACGTTTTATGATGTTTAAACCCATTCTTCTTTTTTTCATTAAGTATCCGTGTGGTAACGTCCCACTGCATGTTTTGCTTTTATGGTCACTTACTTCCTTTGATTGTTGACAGAACTCCTCATCTCCTCTGACATTGCTTCCAGCAAAACATGGTAGCTGAGCAGATTAGCAATACTGGGGAACAAGCTAACCCTCCAGGTTGTTTCATTTAAATTATGTTGACACTCTATTGTTTGTTGTGAGGCCATTTACTACTCGTGTCGCAATTCCAGAGACATGTTCACTACAGCCTCCGTGACGTCACCCATAGGTTTCTGAAGAGCAGTTTAAAGTTCAGAGTGGGCCGCTCCGTTATCGTTATCGCCCCCCCATACAGTCATCATGGAGGAGGAAATTAGTCGTAGAGACCAAAAACGTTTTTGTAAACATGTTTATTTCTGCTGTAAAGTTGGCCATTTTAACAGTTTTTGGTACTTCCGTGTTGTCTCAAAGGGTGCCGTTTGGTTCCCTCACAGTTTATCAGCAAAGGAGGCAATTATTATTTTTACTATTATGTTAAACTTTTCTTGCTTTGGGTAGACTTCAGTAAAGGTGCAGTTCCATCTTTGACCACAAACTAGCTGATGTTTATCACCCGTCAGCCCAGGGGGCGCTGTTTAACTCAGTTAAACTGAATGAAAACGGGAGCAACCAAGACATTCAAGTAAGAAGTTTCTATTATGTCACATAATAGAAACTTCTTCACAATTTTTGTTGTCACTTAATTTATGTGACAACAAAAATTGACAAAAGTGACAACAATTTTTGTTGTCACTTAATTTATGTGAAATCTTTTAAATAAAATTTATGTGAAATCTTTTAAATAAAATTCAAGAAAGGGCTACTTTGGTTAAAATTCATACATTTGATTTACCAATTATGTTGATGTTTAAGAAATTTGTTTGTCCCTGAACTTCCTGTTAAAACACCAAAAGAGACACAAGATGAAAGAAGACAGAGATAAGGGTAAATATACTTTATTTTTTTTAAAGCATGTTTACAGTATTGGAAATGTCATTTTTTAAATTTCACCTCTTACCCCAGGCAACTATTAACTTTAATGTAACTTTTAGAAAAAAAAAACTCCTTTTATGTACATTCATTCACATTATTTCAAAACAAGCAAAGATATTATTACATTTGTTTACTGTACATATAAACATATGCTACAGTGGCCAGAGAGATTTAAAGATACACTTTTTTTTACAATGTTAAATACAAACACTTAGGAAATGTAGTGCTGGTTCATGTTATAATCAGAACTGAGATGACCTTTGATATACAGTGAAAATGCATTCATTTCTTTCAGATGGATGGGGAAATAAAGCCTATAAGAAATATTTCAGCAGTATAATTTTTAGCATTTCTACTATTCTGATTATGTGGCAGTCAAATATAACCAACTGCGTTAATGCATGTACATGTTATGTGTAAACGTGGTGTGACGGTGTACTGAATGGACACCAAACAGAAAACAATCTTCCACAGAACCATAATGTGTTCCTCCAGCACATCTTCAGTTACTTAATCAAACCAGCCATCAAGTACACTTTTATGAAAGATTTTCACATGTTATAACCCAACATACACACATTTTTAGGTCTTCTTAATTCTTCCATCTTAATTCACCAGCCTGAAGACACAGCACTAAATTAGACAGAAGAGAAGTAACAGGCTAATCTTCAAACTTCAAAACTGTAAAGTACAAAGTAGGAGATTTCACAGGCCACAGGCAGACTAACACATCAATGTCTCCTTAGCCAGTACTGTGCAGGAGTGTATACATGATTGGACAATCCAGCCTTGTCTGTCAAGTCTCTTCACAGAGCTTTGCAACCTTGGTACAGAAGAGGGAACCTGGGCAAATATGTAATCAGAAAATTTGTTTTTGAGTAAACAAGAAAACTTGTTACATCACATTTAACATGTAATGTTCTTTTGCCAATTCAATTTTTTTAATTCTTTTTTGAATACACTTTATTTGCCCAGGTGTCATGTGTTACTGCACCCGCAAACATCCACATACTCTCAAAGACCTCAACCTCAACATTGCCATTTAAATAAGTATAAAAACAGTCATTTTTAAGAAGTCTATATAATTGTCACTCTAATACTCTGAGTGCTACATGGAAAATGTGTGCATTATGTACAAAGCAAACAAACAGATGTCAGCACTTTGGTGTAGGCTTGTTAAAGTAACCAAGAGATGAACTTTTTTTAGTTTTTAAAGGGCCTCCTAAAACTTTTTCTTTTTTTTTCTTTTTTCTTTTTTTTAAAAAAAGAGTTACATTTAACATGAAGGTCTTGAAGGTGAATATTAAGAATGACGACTGACAGCAGCCATTGTTTTTTCTCTCCAACAGATGGTGCTCTTGCTCTTCAAGTCCCACTAACAGCTTTCATTAATTTTTTTTAATTTTTTTTTATCTCAACACAGATCACCTATTTGAGATGACCAACTTCACTTTCTTTTTTTTCCAAATTTCCACACTTTCCACAGACCTTCATTTCAACATTGGGCGCTTAAAGTGATGAATGCCAACAGTGGCTCAGCAATCTGACAGTCAAGCAAGGCCGTATCACACTTATCTTAATAACACACATTTGTGAATGAAGACTGATCTACAAGTAAATAAAATGATCAGACCTTAGTTCATCAGGACTGAACAGTAGTGTTTTGTAATATTAAAGATGATTCCCAAACATTCCCTGAAATGGAGCAGACAATGTAATGGTTTGGTCTTATCTAGTACAGCATGGCTTACAGTCGATGTCACAGTGAATGAAAGTCCCTAACACTACTGACTTATCATGTGACCTACAACCAAATGTCCTGTCTAACATTATGAACATGGAATGTTCAAATTACAGTGAGATGTATTTTTATCCCCAGTTATGAATCAGACGAAAACCAAGTGTCAAAACAAACCTGAAACCTCATTTACAGTGAAAATCTCTCTCAAGTCAAATGGCTGTTCAGTGATATACAACTATTTAACTCCAGGGAGAGGTTAGATGTAAACATAAGATGCTCTCCTACAACTTGGTGTTTCTACCTTCAGTATAGAAAGCCAAAACACAAACCCTCACCAAACTACACAGCAACAATAACTACATGGCTGTTTTGGCGCACCACCCATGCACAGTATACTGGAGAAAATAAGGGTGAAATCAAGAGTCACAAGACAGGCAACAAGTTTTTTTTTCCTTTTTCCTTTTTGTGGTGAGGCTCATATCACATGGGATTAGGGGGTAGCACTGGCCTTTCCAACTTGGCATTTGTTTCTTTTTTTAAAATCTTGGTTCCTTTGCAAACAAAGCAAGCTTTGTACTGTATGTCATAAATTTGGTCATTGGCTACAATGGCCCAAAGGGTTTTTCCCTTTACCCATGCATATGCGAAAGGTGTTTCCAGACAATCAGATTAGTGTTTGGGCAACCTGTCTGTCATGTAGGTGGTTGCAATGTAATGGTTGTGAATGAGGTGACATTCCACCTCCGTCTTACTGTTTTTAGTGATTCAACAATGAGAAAAGCTGCTTACAGATACATATGCTGATATCATGTTAATATCCTAATTGATATTAGAATAACTGAAATGACCACAATAAATTTAGCCATGTGAACTTCACATTATAGCAGGTCTCAAGTCAGTCCTTCATACACACCCACACTACAAATTTGAGCTAACTCCTGGTTAAAACAGGCGTGACTGTAGATGATGGTTATGATTGTGTTCCATTCAATCTCTAGAGATAAGGACAGTAGAGAGGGGACCTGTAGGCACTGAACAGGACAGACTCTCAGTCTGGCTCTTCCCTACACACACCTCTAGAGGGCGCTCGGCTGTCAGCATGTGAGGTGCAGAGCGGGTTGGAGGGGAGGAAGAGCAGGAGGAAGAGAGAATGAGGGGGTGGGGGCTTTTACTCGGGTAAGTTCAGTGCAACTGCCTCTGGTTTCATCTTGAAGTACTGGTTGAAGCGCAGGACTGCATATCTGAGAGTTGAGACACAGACAGAGGAGCAGTGTCAGCAATAAGATAAAAAAAATGTATGTGACATGTTAGATAGATGGATATCAGTGCAAGAATATCAGACCGCTTAGACACACTGTGAACTGAGATGACACAAACAATATTAATCTGGATGACATTTTGTTCTTAAACAAATGATTAAATGCCTGAAATCTGCTGCCAAGAGCAGAATAAAATAGCTCATGATTAAGTGTGCTTGCTGGTTTATTTCAAGATGGCAACATACCCCAAGAAGTCAAAGTCGATGGTGGAGAACTTGGCCTGAATCAGAGCCCAGAGACCCCAGATGAAATGAGATGCCTAGACGCAGAGGAGAGAGGGAGAGAGCAACAGGGAGACACAAAGGATTAACATGTACTCGCTGTCAGTAAAGTAAATGTCATTTGTAATCACCCAACGAGCATGTACTGAGCCAGCAGAAGCCCTATGGCAACTACAACAAATAGCCGACACAGAAACACAATTGCTTCACTTGCCCATCCTCCACTCTGCCCTCTTTTCCTCTTGACAGTAAACAAAGCAACGCTGCTCAGGGGAGAGCGCGGAGCCTCACGAGGGTTACAAACTGTCTCCGTTATACTGACTGCATCGTGAGCACCTCACAAATATCCTTATCTCATATTCAGACCAGGTAGCGCATGTTAAAGCCCACATCACTCAGCAATCTGTTTAACCCACATCGCACTATAATCAGTGTTTGCTGGCCCAACACCTGAGGAAGCAGGGCATGGAAAATCAACTCACAACAAGCCCCCGGGCATTTCCTCCTACAAGTGTTCAATTTTCAGCTCTATGTTATTGAAACGGGCACAGTACAGTAGTTAGAACTACTAAGACAGCATAGAGCAATACTTGTCCTTGACCACACGGTGTATGTCAAGACTAATATATAACTGGATTGTTAACTAACTTTTAACCGCTGAGAAAAGAGTCAACTGTTTCTTAACAGCCTTCACTACCCTGAAAGTACATTGTGGAGAAATGTTTAGGCAAACAGAAGACACAAGGTTATCAGACGTAACCAGGACAATTCTTTTACTCACAGTCATGCAGCCTAAAAGTCAACTACCTGCTATCTGCCAATCAGAGACCCTGACCATCTTTTTCTTACAAATGCGAGACTTGACCAGGCTAGCCTGTTTTACTAAGTCAACTGTGGTTTAAATTACATGTGCTCAAATGCTTACCAGGGCAAATCGGTTGACTTGGACATAAAGAATCTCCACCTCTGTATCAGTCACGTCACTGCCCTGGCCTTTGTACTCCTTATAGGCCTCCAAGTAGGAGCGGAGCCACTGCAGCTGAAAGGCCCGCTCTGGGTAGTGACTATAATCCACCTCATTCAGGCCTGGGACAAATAAACACCCAATTAAAAGACTGACATCTCAGTGAACATTTCATATATGCATCTTTGTATGTATACCAGGAAGTTCACTTACCAGCGAACTCATTGAAATGGTTCCCAATGTCGTAGGCTTGGTAATTGTACCCAGCATATTCGTAGTCAATGAACTTTACATTGCCTGGAAAGAGAAGGAGCGTTGTTTAGACAGAGACACAGGAAGCAGATGAAATGATTATGTTGTGTTTTCCCTTTGATAACTCAGAATGTCAAGGCCTTTCATTTCAAACTGTAACTTTCTTGTTATTTCCTGTCTGAATGGACTGGCTGGCTAGTTATAGCCGATTTTGGGGCAAGGAGTACGAGTTTGCATTTTGAGGGAAAGTAGACAGAAGAAGACTTTAGCACAGAAAAAATGAGATAAGGAGAATTAAAGAGAGACACATTTAGACTAAAGAGGTATTCTTCTGAAAATAATTTTAGCCAACACTTCCTACAAAAAAATAAATAAATAAAAAAACAAAGGCTGTTAAGATTTAGGGAAGTCACAGCTGGACACATTTACAGTACTGCTGATTAATGTGTGTTTCCCCTCAAAATATTCAGAATAAAAACTCCCATTAAGTAAATATGGGAAATTCCATGCCTTTGTGTTGCCTTTGCTATTTACAAAATAGGTATACCTAATAACTACAAGGGAAGAAAAACAAATGAGAAAAGATAGATAGCTTGAACATCCTCAGGGACTTTGAGCGATCAGTCTCCAATTGTATCTTAGTTATCAGAGTAGATGTACTGGTAACTGAGTTATCAGGCTTTTTCAAAGAAACCACAAAACAGGCAGCCGGGATACATTAGCAGAGATGATAATGTGCAAAGCCTGATGCAAGACATGGAACACATACAAAAGTCTAGGGGGTAAAGCAATACAGCTGCGTTTTCACAGAGTGTTTGTTTTGGATACATGCACAGAATAAAAGAAAAAAGGTCAGTTAAAATTTTGAAGAGATGGAAAAAAAAAGACTAAAATGAAAAAAAAGCAAGAGATGAAGGAAGGAAGGAAGACAGTAAAATACAAAGACACTCAAGTGGATTTTAGAAAATTGCACTCAGCCAAAACACATGTACAGCAACACACTCTTCAATAAATGTTCACACAACTTTGTTGACTTACAGCAAACAATGTACCCCATGCTAACAGAGTAACTGAGAGCCAACAGGAGTTTTAGCTCTTTGATAAAGTTTGTAAAATACACTCACAGCAACTACAAAAGAGTCTTTTAGTGCCCATGAAATATGGGTGAAAATAACTGAAGATTAAAGCCGATCATAACTTTAAATCTGTGGTTAGAAGAATGTGTTGGTGTCTCTCTGCGTTTGTAGGTCAATGAAAACATGAGATGCCTGCATTAATAGTGAACACAGAGGGAAGCATTCAGTCATGAAGTGGCTGCCCTCAAAATACAAACCCTTACTTTTACAAGCCCGGTTGTGACTGTGACATTAACCAAAATCCAAAAAAAAGAAAGAACAACAATATATTTAATTTAATGTCTCTGCTCTTAATGTTTTGCTTTGTTTTGGCCTTAGCTAATTTCTTTGCCCTAACAAATGGAACATATGTTTTTTGAGGTGTTGCTGGACTACAAGAAAGACACTTTGAGGTGGGTTACCAGCCGGCGTGTAGGTCCTAGCGGGACACAACTGAACACCTCCGGGCAGTGGCTATAGCCCCCTGTGCAGCAGATGAAAAGGTTGGGGCAAACACATCTTTCACACATGCTCACTCTCTCACTGACACATTTTGTCTTTTATCCATTCCTGCTCGCACGCACAGTGTCGAAATATCAGGCCCTGCAGCCAAACTCCCATTCCCCCCCCCATCATACATGCAACCTCACTTCCCCTTCTCACAACACTCCCCTCCAATGCTCCCTTCCCATTGGTCTGCTGTGAACCCAATAGCATGACACCTCTGCTGCTTTTGCAAATGACAGAATTTTTAAGAGGCTTCCTGTTGGCTGCTGAACTGGAGATTTTGTGGCTCTTGGGACCAAGAGAAATGTGTGCAAATTTTTTTTTTTTTTTTTTTTGTGCAAACATCTAAGTAAAGTGAAAAGGGCAGGGGAACTAAGCCTGTGACGGAGGTTGAGAGACAAAGGGAGACAAAGAGAGAGAAGAAAAGCAATGCAGCACTTGCTGACAGTATTTTTTTTAACAGAATCTTAGGTAAAGAGAGTGTCCACCACTTATATTAACAGTTTTATCAACACAGGAAGTGGTGGTTTCCCTTCTGTCATGTTTGGCAGACAAGCGGTTTCAACTCCGCAACTACAGCTGAGCAGAAGTGACAGGAAGCAGCGTGGTAGATGTTGGGTTTCTTTTCATGCCTACTCTTGTTTTTCAGTTCAACAAAAGGCTCTAAGTGCAGTGTAAGACAGGGATTACTAGCACGACGGTTCAGACAGCTTGAGTCGGCGCAGGCAGAAATGTAGTAATTATTGCTTGGAGATCAAGTCCCTGGACTTTATAGGGGTGTCCGTTCCATTGTGTTTGTCATTTGTAGGTGTGGTCTAGTCGCGTTTGCAATGTTAAGACATATATCATTAGACTGGAGTGACTGGGATAAAGGAAAATTCCTTTCCATTCTGGCTCTTAATCAATAGTATTTTCAAACAGAAGTACTGATAACCTTTTGTCTTACTTATTGAAGCATGAAACATGATTCTGCAAGTGTGCAAACATGCATGAATTCCCTGCACAGATTTTTACATGTCTATGCAAGAGATCTACCCTATAAACCAACTGACTATTATAGCAACATCTGCCCTCTGAACAATGCTCCATTTTTAATACTGGATGTACAGGAATACATCCAGTACATACAGGGAGTTACACAGTGGGCACTGGCCCAGCACTTGTTTGATATGCAGAACCACAGACACTCCTTGCCTGCATGTTTAGGGCAAAGAGGTCCCCCCCCCTTTTTTTCAGAAGCATGTTTCAGCTGTAGAGGATAAGGCTGATGATATTCTGTATTATTGGTGTTCTCAACAAATCCTATGAAAAGACTAAATCCAACAATGTATTAGTCTGTCTCTAAGTGCTTTCCAACTTCCCCATACTGTCTGCTGCTACCAGCCCCAAGCCCATTCATCACTTCTGAAAATTTCCAAAAACATGATCACATATGTCTTCTTTCAATTTAAAAAAAGATTAATTTCCTGCACGCTAGTTTTTAACAAATGTTACTCAAGCAGGAGTAAACACTTTATTGAGGACTATTTTCAGCTGCAGCCCAATACACGTTTGGTGGACTAATGAGTATTCATAGTAGCAGGACAGTATACTCAATACTCAGTGTGATATTGACTCAAAATAGTCTACATTGTGTGCATTCATAATGTAACTGAACATAACACCCAGTGAAATTGTATGGCTGGTGTGTTTTTGATAGCTCCTCATAGGAAACACTGGAGCTCTGCAGAGACGAATTACAGGGGCAAGAAAAAGTATGTGAACTTTTTGGAATGACCTGGCTGGTTGTCTGCATTGATTCATGACAAAATGTGATCCGATCTTCATCCAAGTCACAAGTGTAGCCAGACACAATGTGCTTAAGCTACTATCACGCCAACAATTATAATCTTGCGTGTCTTTATTGAACACACCCATTAAACATTCACCTCAAACAAGAGCTTCTGGTAGCTGCTGATCAGACCTGCACAATGTTCAGGAGGAATCTTGGTACCGTCTTTCTACTGAGCGGCTTCAGCTCAGCCATTTTCTTAGGATGTCAGGTGTGAGCGGCTCTCTTGAGGTCATTCCACAACATCTCTACAGGATTAAGGTCTGGGCTCTGACTGGGTTACTCCAACAGGTGGATTCTCTTTGTCTTAAGTCATTCTGTAGGAGATTTACTTTCTGATGTTTAGGGTCATTCCTCAGCTGCAACACCCAGCTTCTACTGAGCTTCAGCAGGTGGACAGCCACCCTGATATCATCCTGTAAGAGACCTTGACAATCTTGTGAAAATATTTTCCTGACGATTATGGCGAGCGGTCCAGACCCAGAGGTAGCAAAGCCCCAAATCATGATGCTCCCTCCACCCTACTTTGGGATGATGTTGTCATGTTGGTGTGCAGAGCCCAATTCACACTATACATAGTGCTGCATGTTCTTCCACAACAATTCAAGTTTCATCAGTCCACAAAACATTGTCCAAGTAGTATTGTAGAGTGTCAAGCTGCTCTTTGACAAACTTCAGGTGGAGTCATGTTTTTTTTTTGGAGAGCAACAGACTCTTCTGTGGTGTCCATGACAGGAGACCATGCTCCATGATTTGCATATAGTCGACTCATGAACAGAGATGTTAACCAGCTCCAACCTTTTAGCTGTTACTCTGGACATTATTTTTACCTAACCGATCATTCTGCATTGTGCTTTTGGAGTCATCTTAGATAAACGCCCACTTCTATGGAGAGTAGGCACAGAACTGAATCATCTGACTGATTAATATCTAAACTCTTTGAGGGGACTTTGTAACCATTTCCAGCTTTATGGAAATCAACTATTCTTCACCCTAAGTCTTCTGAAATCTTTTATATGAGGCCTGGTTCAAATCAGATGTTTCTTGTGAACAGCAAACTCAAAATATTTGAGTGTTTTTTATAAGTCAAAGCAGCTTTAACCCACACCTCCAATGTTGTTTCATTGACTGGACTCCAGGTTTGATAACTCCTGCCCCCAGTTACCTTTTGTTAATGTCGTTAGCCAAGGGGTTCACATACTTTTTACAACCTACACTGTGAATTTTTCAGTATGGACAAGACCAATACAATGGTTTGTGTGTCATTAGTTAAAATACAGCGTTTGTTCATAATTCTAACTTGGATAAAGATATGACCATATGGACAAATTTATACATAAATGAAGATAATTCCAAAGGGTTCACATACTGTTTCTTTCTACATATAAAGTATATAACGGGCTTTGTTGACACAGGCAATACTTGTAAACCAGATAAATTCATTGTTGGTTTTGATCTCTTCATTGGACATAATGTATGCTTGCACTTCTGTGATCTGCCCAGTCATCGATCTCGGTGCTTTGACATGGAAATGGTGGCGTGAGGAGCAGTGATGGAAAGTAGCTTTATATTTTAGGCATTTGTCTGGCGCTCAGAGTGACTTAAAGCAAGTGCACATAAAAAAACAGTTGTTTAAAAGTCAGTATTGAAAGTAGCCTAGCAATAAGATGTCAGAGGGAACTGGTGGCCGAGTAGCATTGGAGGGTAATAAATAGGTACGTGGCTCCTACTGCTGCCATGAACTCATCCCGATTAGCCTGAGCAGTGGGCAGACTACGTGTGGGCCCTCAGAGCCGACTGTGCGTGAGGTTTGTCTCTCTCCATTGCCTCCCCAGGGCAGGGCGGCGCAGGGCAGCCACACCCTCAGCTGTCAATCCTAGGGGAGAAAGGCTAGACACAAGGAGCTGTGAGAATGGCCCCGCCCCTCATCGCAAACCGACGAGGGGGCTGACAGCTCTTAAACAACCCCCACCCCACCTCCCACATACATGAAATAATCTCTACTGTCCTCCCCCCTTTGTTTATTCTTTCTCGCCCAATTACCCCACCATTCCTCTGCTAAGACAATGCTTAGAACAGTTTCACTGACTGGTACACTCCCATTGACCTCTATGATAAAGTCACTCAGTGCAAAAGTAAGCTAATAAGTTTGCCTGACGACATGTCGCTTGACATTCATACCATCAAAATACAGCAATATTGCTAAAGCACCAAACACATGTGCTGTCAATAAAACTGAGACTTGGTAATGTGGTATGAAGTAATGGCATTGTTTGTTGAGGCTGATAAAAGTGGGTTTTCGTTCCAAATTTTTAGCACAAAATTAGAACGACAGATCAGACTAAATTTAGGAATAACTATGAAATCCTAATTAGAAACAGGCTTCATTGTGCACTCATTTATTAACATCACAAAGGCCAGGATTTAAGGTGCAATAACTGAAATCTGTGATGGATGAGGTGTTAATTCACAAAAACAGTAGGATTTGACTAAATTTATTGGAGGAAGTCAAACACAATTTAGTCCTAACATACCACTGTATGTTTGCTGTGTTTGCCTTGTTTCAAATAAGGATTTCACCTAGAGCAATAGCAACTGGATTGTCTCGTCTGACTGTTCTAATTCTGCAGCCCAACGCAAACACTGACAATGAGTGAAGCATGTGACTAGGGTTGAGGAAGTGCAGGTAATACAATCCTACCTGAGCGTAGGGACCAATGCAGATCACACTACAACACAAATCAGTCATACAGTAATGCCTATGACTACACTTGTGTGGTTTATACTCACCCTCCACCTGGTTGTAGATGATATTTTTGCAGAGCAGGTCGTTGTGGCAGAGAACTACGGGGGAGCCCAGCACCGACAAGCTCTTCTGCAGCCACAGCAGCTCTTCTCGGAGGCACCGTGGGCTGGGCACCTCCATGCTCAACCTGGAGGGGGAAGAGAGTCAAAGATGATGAGAATACTGAGAAAAGGTAGGCGCATTAAGCATATAAATGAAAAGACAGATGGAGGTAAAGTCAGTATGAGGAAGTAGAGTTAGAAATAGAAGCAAGGATGAAGATAGAAACTGAAATTAAGCAAAACAAGGAGAAGAAAAGGAACCACATGTAGTTTACATAAGCCAGCACTGTGCAAAACAATTTATGGGACAGTAATAGGAGAAAAGGTAAAAGTGATTCACTCATAATTGCACAGTCTAAGTGAAAGCACAAAATGAATCCACAGGATCTGGTGTAGACCTACTGTTGATGTAAAATTTAATTTACTTAAGTGCAAGTACACACACACACACACACACTCACATTTCTCAACTATGCCTAGCTTGACAACATGACAACAGCTGTGTTTCACATAAACAGTTTAGTTTAGTTGATAAATTCATTTGTCAGAATATGCTGTGCTAACATTTTATTGTACAAGACAATTACTACACAGCTAACTATCATTTTGTAGGACCTGATCAGGTGCAACACAAAATGGAAAGACCAAGATTCAGTCCTTGTGGTCACAAGAACTCCACCTATTAATTTTTGACTTCAACACACAAGAACTCTGAGATACTGTGAGTGTCGCAGTCTTTCCTGAGTCTTTATCAGCGTTTCTCTTACAATGTTAATATTAGTGTGGCCTCTGTAGAAATAAAAAAATTATTATGACTGTAAAAGTCAATGTTTGTTTTGGATTCATTTTGGGTGCCAAAATCGATGAAGGTAGTTGTTATATAATTTTCAAACAATCAAGACTCAATGGTGCCAAAGTATCCAAAGCATGTAAGAGATGCATGATAATCATAACTCAGTTTGCCAGTGATGCAGCACACCTGTTTTCTTTTGTGTCAATGTTGACACAATCTGAAACTTAGGTAACCTAAATATTTAGATGGAGATATTAATGGTTAATTCATGTAATAACAATTTTAGATAATACAAGATTAATACAAGGCTTTAAGTTTAAGAAATAAAGAGTTACGGTGCTGACTAAATGTAATACTTACAACCCGTTCCATGTTCTCTTTTTAAGTTTCACATTTAGAGAGAACCTTTCATATACTCTGGTGTTATCTCTTAGGAATGACAGAGTTGCAAAGTGAAGTCACTCCTGCTGATATTGTGAAAGAAATTCCACCCTCCTCAGTCATGTGAGACATGTAGAACTGATAATCAATACTCTTGTGTTGTGCAATTGCACCTTGTGGTTGGTTGGCATATTTGTGACTCACTGATAAGGGAGGTTGGGAGTCATAGTTCCAGGTGAAGATGACTGAGAACACAAACATACAAGTGAAAAAGCCATATGTCTCCAAACAGCATAATTACAGCTCAGTTGTTTATTAATCTGCCTTCTAAAAAAGACTGTAAAAGGTCTAAAAAAAAACTACATAGCTACATTTATTACATGCTTACTTTATGGGGCACATCGATGACAAGTCTCTTTATACTCTGAATTCATGTTTTAAATCAGCACACTTTGGTCATTGCTTTGTGTTTTCCTCTTTATTTAGTCTTTTAAATTAGTATTGAATTCGAGTATGATACTATTATACTGTTTTTAGGCAGTCTAAATGGTTATGCTCCATACATTTTACTTCTAGGCTTAGACTTAGAAAGTGAAGCTGGATTAGGCATTAAGATATACTGAAACATTTTAAGGGCATCAGGGAAAAACTGTGACAATTAACCAGCCACATCTGAGGTTCTAGCAGACTTCAGTAAGTCTGATCTACGACAAGGTCTCACCTGGCGTTCTGCTCAGGGTCCTCGAAGTACTTGGGGATGAGAGCAAAGTACTTGCCCATCTTTAGCCACATGTCAGACTGGGGCACCCAGCCATTATGGGCATGGATGGCATGGTACTTGGCCAGCTGCCTGGCAATGAGCCTGGAAGGTAGAAGAGACAGAAAATGGGGGGATTTGAATTAGAGCATTAAGCAACAATATGCAACCAGGATCCAGTCTTGCAGTTTAGCCATAAAGGGATAAAAGAAAGTTCAAATCTGACACAAAAATTGCTCAATTGATCAGGTAAATGACAATTTAGGTGAAAGCATAAAAGAGTTAATCATAAGTCATATAATAAAATCTTGGACAATAATTTCCACTAGGTTGCAGTCAATGAAGGCTTCTTTTTAACTGGGCCATAGGTATGACTACGACTGATTTTTAATGAATTTTGACAGCTTCTACTGCGCCACCATTATGAGGATTGTTCCATGCTGTGTATCCGGCAGCAGTGCAATTGAGTGCATATGGAGAAGGAAAGAAAAAAGGGAAAGAAGAGAAAGAAAGGATGGAGAGGAGAAAGGAAAAAAAAGAAACAGGATTGGCCCTTCAAGTCTTGGCCACCTAAAATATGCAAATAAATGCAGTATAAAGCAAGTTAGAGGCTAGTGAATGTGTGTGTGTGTGTGTGTGTGTGTGTGTGTGTGTCTGTCAAGTATTCATGATTAGCTTCTGGGCAGTCACAGGTGACAAACCTAATTCTCAAGTCAGGTGTCTTTCTGAAAACACTCCTCAAGACATTTGACTGCATAACAAAGGAGCTTTACCTAAAAACAGGTTGGCTGCGAATGTGTTCAGGCTCCAGGGCAGTTCCTTGTAGAAATTCATAACACAGGCCGTTGTTGAAGGTACAGTAGAGGCGCGGGGCACAGCGGTGTGCGTGTAGTACTCTGAAGCTTTTCACCTCATTTTCCCGGTCGACCAACAGTTCTGTTTTGTTGCCGTAAATACGGACCAGAACCACATCCTGCATAACTGCACCCACATAGCAGCCCAGCAACTTATTGGTTATTCCATCTGTGAAAAACTGTGGAGACAAATAGATGAAAGAGAAAAAACAGGTGAATCAGGGAAAAATCATGATTCATCCGATGCTTTAACAACCAAGCTTGATGCCTACGGTTAAATGAGAGTAGGACCATCCTCCACATTATGCTATTTAAGTGCTGTGTCTGAACACCTACATTATTCTGAGTGTTACATAAGTTCTGAGGGGAGCAAGGGTCTGGCAAATAACAGAAGACAGAAGAGGAATTAATGTCGCCATAAAACAATTTGGGCCTGTCTGGGGTGATTTACGCTCACTGTCTAACTGTCTCTGTTGTGAAACTGGGAGCATTTTTGTTTTTGGGGGGGGGGTAGAGGGTGGGCATTGTGCCAACATACCATCTCTAATTGTTCACTCTAGAAGGGATTGACTGAGAACGACAGGATTGTGGGGAATTTTATTTTGCCTGAGGAAGCAATGACTGGCATTTGCTGAGTTCCCACTTTGCACTCATTGATGAATATAGGCAAGGGTGGCAGAGCATGTGATCAGCTCTCAGGCTCGCTGTGTTTACCAAGCAGAGCCACACCCCCACAACCACAGTCTGTAATTGCAAAGGAGAATAATTCACTTTCAGTATATCTAGCCAAGCTGTAATGTCAGAGTGCATGTCTTACAGTGTTTGTCTACGATAAAAATAATGTAATGTTTAGAAATAATGTTCCCTTTTCTGTTTGTTTTATAAAAAAATAATAATAATCCTCTCTGCCTTGGCAGATCAAACTGGAAACCTGTAGGATTATATTAAGTCACTTTTGCAAAAAGTAAATGCAAATACTCTTTAGTCATGCTCCATTTGTCATCTGTTTCTTCCATGAGTTTACAAGAATAGACAAGAGATTTCTAGCCTATACTAAACACCCTGCCAATTTCTTAAATTCCTGAAACTTGTACATTGGGGCGCAGCATGATGATAATTTAAAATCTAAACTGACAGGTACCACCTCTCCTCTATCTGCGTTTAACCACCTCCATGCAAGTCTCGAACAGTTCGTGTCCGGTACAGCGTTCAGACGGATTACATAAGACTGAAGTTAACTATAACGCCGCTCAAGTAACGCAGAGGGAGCGGGCTTGACTGCGCCAAAAGCGGCAAGAGACTCCCTCTGTTTGATCATGACCTGAGCTGACGCAGATACTATTTACAAAGGCAAAACATTAACCCTAACGGGGAAAGATTACAGCAGCATCTCCTGAGCCGTAACACGTCGAGGAAATTATCTACCATTTGTCTGAGGATGTCAACAGCAGTTTAATAGTGACATTAACGTAGCATTTGAGCTGTCTGTGATGTCATTATGCTAGCTAGTTTCGGCTGACATTAGCTCATGGAATGAATTAACGTTACTTTTAGCTAACTTGAGTTTTAAAATGGAAGCACCTTGCCTGCTAAACAACTTTAACTACGAAGAAATGAAAATTTGAGCACGAGAAATGTGAAGACATATCATACAAAAACAGACAGTAAAATAACAGTAAAATTAAAAAAATAATACTATAAACGGTACCTTAATTTTGACCTCGGATGGCTTCCAGCTCGGTCTCAGCGCCTTGATCAGTTTCAGTGCACCGGGTCTGTAGTCGCTCTCGTCAACTGTCACGTCTATTTTGGGCACAGCTGGAGCCTCGTCCGGTACGTGAATGTAGTTGGCCATGGTTAAATCTTTATTTTTCGGAATATCGCAAACTCTGAAAATTGCAGTGATGTACGCAGCAGTAAAATGCGCAATGTATGAAAATGCGTGCCTTGCTGCGGGTATATAATCCTGAAGTGCTCGGTGTGCGGCAACGCCTCTCAAAAAATCCCACCCACATGAAAAAAAAAGTTCACCCGATGCATGCTGGTAGTCGAATGACTCACTAGAAGCGCGTGTTAATTCTGTCAAAGTGCACCGTCGGCGGAGCTTAATCGTTAAAAATATCCGTATGTGTACAGTAATTTTTAAATATGTTTCGTAATATTAATGCTTAACACTACCAACAAACAAACACACAAAGTCATAAGATATACGACGTCAATTCAAAGCTGTTACTCAAACTTCTCAATAGCAATTCAAGTCGGTGGTCCTTGGTGAATACATACAAGCGCACACTTAATGCAGACGTAGCTCACTATGCTGCTGGCGTCACGTCCGTAACCTACTTGAATGAAATGAGCTTTGTGTCAAGTCTGAGCGTTTTAAATGTCACTGCAGTGAAGGCCAGTAGTCCAACGCAGGGAGGGCAAATCCACCTTAACTCAAATTAATCCGGCTTTGTGGTCTCAAAGGCACACAAGTGGTGTGCTAGTTATTAAGTAAAAAGGAGAAAGTTGCTGATTTTGCTGTTTCCGTTTCTATTAGCCGTTGATTGATACGAGTCCACAGCCTTGAATATTTAATAGCAACATATTGGAAAAGCCTACCCTGTACTCTTCTCAATTTAAACCCGAACATTTGTTTGGTTTTGTTGTGTTACATGTGGACTGAATGACAGACAGTGGAAGAACATGCAATTCTGGTTTTGTATGCTCATCACCATCACCATGGTTTGTCCTATATATAGACAATAGTACAACTTGCAAAACTAGCTGAGGAACAGCTATGCCCCCCCCCCCCCCCCCCCCCATGCAAGAGGCTTAGCCCCTCTAAATATATAAACACATTATATCAATGGTGACACCCATGGTGTATTTCCATCTTGACTGTAAGACATTTTGTGCAAAGTGCTTTCTACAATTCATACCAGATCTGACTTTTTGCTTTGTAACATACTACATATAAAACAGTGCATGGGATCTCATTGCACCAACTGTCCTGCCCTCTATTCTGAAAGACTCCGTAGCTAACAGGGATTTGAAATTTATCTTCATACATGTGCCGGTCAGTTCAGTGTTGACTCACCCTGTAAACGGTGCAACCCCCCAGTGCATTCAGCCAGCCAGCAAGCCATTTCCTGGTTGCCACTGGTGCAGCTCCAGTTTAGCTGAATGGAGACGGTCATCTCTCTCACAGAGGGAGACTTTATCAGCAGCTCTTAAGGAAAATGAGTGCTTTTTAATTCCCATTTATTACTCGTATTTCTCATAAGTCTCTTCTGGAGAATCATGACTTGTTTCCCCATTTGTAAATTAGGAAAAAGAATTGGAACATGTCCCCATTCACCCCTCATGGCTTGGAGGCTTGTCACACAGTTATTGTTGCCTTACACACATTTTACATAATGCTCAGTGAGTAAAAACACAAGGCTGCCATATCAACGTTTACAAGACAATGTCAGCAGCTAAATTAAAGTGGGCAGGTTCTTGTAGGTGAACCACTGACCCAAAAAACACAAATCTATCAAATAAAAATCAATAAGTAGAAATGGGAGGTTTGCTTCTTTTATAAATTCCCCTTGTGTACATAACTTTTTCCACTTCACTTCTAAAGTTTCTTGTCCTCACAAAAGTGGATTTTCAAATAGCAACATCCCCAAGAGCAACATATCCTAGGAACAATAGACAGCATTATACCAGCCTGAGAATCTATTGTTGTAATGCCTTCTGAGGCACAGGAGGAGCTGTAGTTGCTGTTTAGGTTGAAATTTGAGTCACAAAGACAACATAGCAACAAGGCTTTTCCTTTTTTTTTTTTTACTAGCAAGTATCACTGAAAATTTCCCATAATGTTCTGCGTAAAAAAAATGTTTGCCTATCAAAACAGTGGGTCATGTTGGCGGTTATTGTTTTTCATATTCACCCAGAACTCTTACAATGTCAAGTGATAGATTTGCATTCATGCTAAACGTAAATGAAAAAAGCCTTTTCTAAACATAACACTCAAGTACTACTTTAGCATACTTGGTTTTGAAAATAATTTAATTTAAAACAAATACATAGTCTTAAATTTAAAGGTGTGTATGGACAAAGATAACCTCTCTATGTTCTTGTCATCGCCAAAAAAATATCTACCACATCCATTAGCTTGAACATGATAGAATGCAGGACTCCTCCCCATGCCTTTAGACATCACCTTCAGGCATGATTTCCTCATCAATGCTGTCTACCTTGCATGACTTTTTGAGGTTGTACTGCTGGACGTTCTCCAAAGTCCCAATCATAGGTCCGGTGCTCAGTCAAAGTAGTCCTCTATATCAATGTTGGGGTTGAGCAGCTCCTCTCCGTACGGTGTCAGATCCATCTGGTTGAGGATTAGGTTCTCAAAGGTCTCCTCCAGGTCTGTTTCGCCGATCAGCACCGCTCCCACCATCCTACCTCCGCTGAGAACGACCTGGAACAAAAATCGAGGAGTAATATGTGAGAAAACCAAGCTAAGCTAAATTAGAAGGAAGGATTGCCCCTGCTGGTGATGTACAAGCAAAGACATCTTCTCTTTTATCTCCACAATTTTAGCAAATTACCAACTGATCAAAAGTCTGAAGTTCCTTTGCTCTGGACTCAAATCTGGCATTAGATCATACACACATAGAAGAACAGTCCCCTTCACACACTGACAAACATTTAAAAAATGCATCACATGGCATATTTTCCAGATGCCACTGGCACTACGAGAATGGCTTACAGCGTCCAAAGCACTTGAGGTTTTGATACTGTCTACAAATAAATCACAGTCACTAAGTTTGTGTGCAGAATAACAAATGTTTTGTACATCTGAGTGAATCAGTTTTGGGTTATGAGCCACCAGTAAAAATAGAATGACATTGTTGAAATCTTTAATTCTGCTCTAATTCTCATTCTGTAAAGTATTCTGTATTCTGTCAAGTATCACCTTGACATACTCCCGGCCTTTGGTGCAGCGCACCAGCAGCTCGTGGTCAGGCCCCAGCCCCTGCCCATTAAACTTTCCCAGCAGAACCACCTGTGGAATGACCAGAAGACAGGAAGTTGTTTAAATGCAGTGTGAGTAAGCACAGAGAGACAGAGAACACTATGTGGCACTGTGAAATGACCTTGAGGATTCTTGGAAGTAATGGAAAACAATTATAATTTGCATGGTAGATGATTAACACACTAGTTATTAAACATCACTCGTCTGCAGTAAAACGTCACGCACCTTGTAGTTGAAGAATTTGGTGATATGTGAGAAGAGCTCGAAGCAGAAGTCCAGTTCTATTGGTTCCGACAGGACGTGTGCCGCCATGCAGCGGCCTGCGTACCAGCCCATCTGACGGGCCTGGGTCCACAGGCGCATCTGCGCACGCACACACACATGCACACACGCGCACACGCAATGTAAGCTTTAAATTCATGACAGAAAAATAACACTTTTTTACGCCTTTCAGCTTCCAAATGCACCCTTCTAACTCCCTGACCAGTCTGTCACTGACAGAAGGACACGCAGTACATGAAATGTACTTTTGAGTCTCTTCTGATTGCACACAGAACACATCAGGCCCAGTTGTTGACAGGACAAAATAAGTTATAATTTCGTATACCATATGTTCAGAAGTGTGTTTCTATACCAATACCTTATCCTGCTGTGTGTAAATTCAAGGACAGACTCATTAACTGGTGTCAAGGATCACAAGTTTGTCCTTCAGCTTTAGTAAATGGTTAACAGCTCATGTATTTAATTATTGAGGATGGTTATTATTATTACTTGCTTTTAGTAAGTTACATTTGTAGAGCTGTTATACTTATGTAAGAAAATTAAATTAAACAAAATTGAATTCAAAGTGAATTGTGAGCAGTATGTGAGAACTGATGAAGCACATAATCATTGCTTTGGTGAAATAATTGAAACTGATCAGACGTGGAAGTTGATATAATCTTGTCTGAAGCCAGTTGCCCCTCCCTATGTTCTCCTTTGTAATACAGTTTCTAAAGATGCAAAGCCAGAGGAGAAAATGGCGTTCTCTCCAGATTAATGCAACGATTTGTCAGTTAGTTTACCTGCTGCCACAGCGGGCTGTGTTCCCAGCATGCAGTGCACACATCTCCTGCAGCATAGACGTCCAACTCTGATGTCATCATGTGGTCATCTACCCGCAGGCCGCCATCATCTGCTCGTGCAAACTTCCCACATACAAACAAAAGTAATGATCATTATTAAAGGCCAATAAATGATTCATATTTTCTGTTCTGCTAATTTTGATAATGTGGTTTTATGGTGGAAAATCTTAGCAGAGGCTGAAGGCCACAGTGATGAAAGCTCACCTGTCCTTCAGTGACATCTAGAGGCTCTAAAGCCCAATTGCTGAGAATTTTACATGACTGCGTCTGTTTTACTATTTACCAACGGTTTACTCTTTGAGTTCAACCATCACTAGCAGAGGTGGACAGGGATTATCTTTACATGGCACTGGTGCATCTTGATATCTGCTGGTCAGACATGTCACTGTATATTTAGCAGTAATGCATCTAATTCAAAATAACTATGCTCCCAATGTTTGATCACCCCCCGGCAGACTCACAGTAATCGGTTATTTTGCATGTGGATGAGTTTTCTTACATTGTTGCCATGGAGAAATGGCTCAGTGTTTGGCACGACACCAGTGGCGCTGACAACAAAATCACAGCCAAATGTCTTGCCATTGGTCAGCTGGATGTAAACTGGCCAGGATCCTACTGAGAGGGAAGAAAAGTTTAAGGAATGAAAAGGTGGAGGAAAAAAAAAAAAAAAACGAAGGGAGAAAATGAAAAATTAGACGACAAGTCCGAGCAGCAAATCTAGCTCTCACCATTCTCAGGTCTGAGTGTTTGCTGTTGGGAATCGAGCAGCTCCTCCGAGGTGAAGATCTTTTCCACCTCACACTGGTATTCCACTGAAACTCTGCGGGACACCTGAGCACACGCCA